TGCTTTGTCTTCACCATCGATTTCTAGGTGAGGTTAGGTTCTTTCCTCTATTGGCCGTTAGTTTTGGCTTTGTTTTGGTTTCGCGGCGCTGGCCTTGGTTCTTGTTTAGGTCGGAGCGGTGGTGTGTAGACCTAGTCATTCACTTGCTATTTTCTTTGGTTTGGGTTATGGTTGGGTCTTTGCTTCCCGTCTTGGCTTATTCTGTAGCATTTCCTATTGACTCGAGAAGCAAGTGTTGCCTCTTCCAGGCTTCTCCTTTGTTATGTTTCCGCTTTAGTTTCTTTGTAGCTCGGGTTATTGTTGGGATGTTTGACACTTAGGAGTTGAAGGAGCTATTTGTTGTTTTTCGGTCTTCCTCCCTTGGGCTTGTTTTTGTGTGGAGATGCGACTTGGTTTGTATTGTCTTTTGGTGTCTTCGTCTTTACTCGCACGTCTCTAGTCTTCAATGTGCAGCTATTTGCTTCTCAAAACCGTCTCTGTTCTGCCTTCCTCCTGATTGTGGTTCATCCGGTAAAGCTGGGTTACGCTCCTTGTTTCTACTTCTCAGACCAGTCTTGAGGTCTGCCTTTTCCATGGGTTTTTTTAGTGGCGTGGTTCTCGGTATGTTTTTCTCCAGCCTTCGTTGGTTTGTTTACCAAAGTGAGAAGCCTTGGACTTAGTTTATTGAGGTACATTTGGTTCGCAATAGGAAGTCTCTTGTTTGTTATTGTGGTTATGTTGATTTTAGACTAGCTTGTTTCAGTTTTAGTCATGTTTCAGTTCATACTCTGGTGAGGTAGACCGTAAGTCTTGTAATTCTCTATCCCTTTGGCTTTCGGCAACAATATATATTATGCTCAGATGAGTTCGCCCTAGGATCTATTCTCCCAGGCCTGAAACCCGAGGAGCCGCCATCGTCAAGAAGCCATGACTGCCGATGAAGCCTCGCCGGTAAAGTCTTCTCCTCCTTGAAGTAGCGATTGTTCTCTCGTCTCCGAAAGAACCGTCACCGTCCTATTCGCCGGAGTCTTGTCTTCCGGTGAGCCCCTCCTCCAACGTCTCTCGCTTTCCTCCATGGCTCGTAAAGAAACGACGTGTGTACTCGCGTTCTCTTGTTCGGATCTGACCAAAGCATCCCATAACATTCGAGTCGTGAGCCTTCTGACTCACAGACGGTGCTTGTCTGGTCCGTCACCTCTGTACCTGCTGGTACCGCCGGATCCACCGGACCGGGCTCGACTCTACACAGTTTCTCTTCTGTTGTTGTTGTGTAATCATCATCACCAGAAAACAATCGCCCTCTCTCCCCCATCTCAGCCTCCGATTTCATCTCCGCCGCGACCGAGAACAAGACTCCCACCGTGGAGAGATCTCGTCGTCATCTCCATCTCGCCACAGCCGGAATATTGGATCTCGTCGCCTACGCCGGAAAATCTATCTCCGTGGCTGTCCTCCATCTTTCCCTCAGCCACCGTCGACCCGCCACCGCCGGCCATCTCCACGTTCCCCAACTTGTCGAGACCCTTCTCCCCATTCATCCCTAAACACTTAATGGATGGGCCAAATTGGTTTATGGGCTTCGTGGCCCAGTAAGCCTAAATCCCCTTGGCCCACATCATGAAAAAGGCCCAATATCAGATCAAGAGTCTTATTTGCAAATCAGGTTTAAGACCACTCACGATTTATTTCTGCAAAGATGTACTACCTTTTTTGTCTTTTTAGACATATTGTTACAGAGCTCGTTAAAATCGAAATCTTCCAAATCGAGCCTGGAGAGATCTATTCGTCTTCACCGTGCTTCATTTTATGAATCGTCGAGATTCATATATTCACGTATGAGAAGATCAAAGTTTTCTGGATTCTCAAATCCTGTAATTTACTTACAGTGGAAAAGTTTAATTCCACTTTCTTCCATCTCTTCTGAGAGATTGGTGGTATTTTCTTGCCTGTTTTGGAGAGTGGTCGAATTCCCGAGCTATATGCCGGGACTTTCAAAGTCACAATTGGAAGTGACTACCTTGAGACTCTCCGGCCTTGCCGCGAAGACCCTCCTGACGCATCCGAGACATGTGTTGGATCCGCTGTCCATCTTCTACGATGATCTATTTGATTTATGTTTTATCGCATTTCAATTATGTTGTATTAATGATGGAAGATGCTTAATTTCCTTCTTTTGTATCCTAATCGTTTAAATGAATGAAAAACTTGTTGACAAAAAAAAATCTCAATTGCCGAACACACTGAAATATTCATAAACTTGTCTAAAACAATTACTGAAAGATT